ATTGTTTTATCTCTGCTCGAGGGAATTCATTACAATTGCAAGTTACAACCACAGTATTTTTCTGTCTGTCACACATGCACCTCCAGTGTTCTGATACCTGATGCAAAACACCTGCTGCAACCAAACTGGCAACGGTGGGAAATGAGAATCAAAGTTATCAAATTGACATTAAGTTTAAGAATTGCTTTTTTGTCCTTCTGTTCTGTCCTATTTTAATGTGATATGAAAAGTTTGACTGTATCGAGTTGCTCATAAGATTCAGTCCACTCCTTTTGAGCAGAATTAATACTATTCAAATACATACATAAATAAATACTATATAGAAGAGGTCCAGAGCCTAGTACTGGTCATTCACATCAAATCACACATTTCCGGAGCTAAAAAGCAGGGAATCTATCCTGTTTTCATACAATTCTCTAGACTTAATAACCAACTTCACCACAAACATGTTTCTACTATGACTTTTAGCCGTTATTCTTCTGTTGCTGTCTGTGAACGCACCTCATCAGCCAGCAGCGACATCTCACTGGAGTCTGCTGCGTCGTAGTCGTACAGAACTTTGGCCTTGCGGGTTCCCGTGGCCGGAGCCTGGACTTCCTCGATCTTCAGAGTCTCGGCTTCGACAGGCGTCTTGTCCTCTTCAGCGGAGCCCTCAGCCCCCACAGAGTGAAGGGAGTTCAGGGCGAAGGCGTTGGGAAGTCTGAGAGGAGAGTTATAAAGCATCACTTAGTCAGAGGAAAATAAAAGTCCACAGCAGAAAAGACATATTCCTTCAAAATAATCCATAGAGTAAGAGTGGATGAATTATTACTGCTGCAGTGAGTTTGGAGTCTGTTCCAGCATTGGTCATTCTGCTCAATAAAAGCCGGTAACTTAAAATGCAACAGTTTTTAGGCTTTACGGTTACAACAAAGTCTTCATATTTTTATTTCTTTGTTTAGCTTACAACTCTTTTTGTATTCCTAAAATTTGAACGAAATACTTTTGTTTATATAATGTAGGTTTTTGGACCCAATTTATAATTTATATCAAACTTGGGTTGTAGATTTTTCTGAACTAAATGACTTTATACTTGGGCTGAACCAAACCTGGATCAAAGGCGAGATATCGTTTACTTGTCATTTCAGACTGATAGAAGAAGAAGATAAACTTTACTGATATCACAATGGAGACATTTGGTTTGATGAATAGTCAGATACACAAATCAAATATCACTCTAATTTCCAAAACCGTGCAGTCCTAATATACACATATCACATCAAGGCATGCTGCGCGCTGTTACTTCCGCGCTCCTTATAGGCAAAGTGGGGTTAAGTGTTTTGCAGTGGGAGTCGGTGGAGAAGGACCTTCAGGCTCAAAGGCCAATGCTCCACCAACTGAGCCACTGTCGCCCCAGACTGACTGATTATTATGGTGCCCCCTGTGATACACATACAGCACGGTGAGTCCGTTTGGAGACAACAAAGTCGAACCTTGAACATTCTAATGACACTGGACTGGATCAACCTGAGGACCTCATGATGAAGAATGTGTTTTACCAAAACTACCAAAGGCATCCGTGACTTTTCCAACCCTCCTTTTCAAACTGTGCATTTCTGTTTGTCTGGATCCTGTTGGTATTTTATGTTGAAGATATACACAAGTGTGAAATGATTAATTTAATCAATGTAAGTTCTGCTTTTTCTCAAACGTATGTACTAAAGCCAAAAAAAAATATATATATAAACCAAAATACACCCACGTGCTATTATAGCTCCAGAGTTTATTTTATTCTATTTAACCATCTTATTTTAACTATATTGTCTATTATCTTAAATAATAGACTATTTGATGTGTGCAATCTGAGAGCTCTTATTTCCTTCATTCTCTGCTGTAAAGTGCATAATGATGACACTGAAATGTCTCCACTGGGACGAATAAAGGAATATCGTCTCTTATCTTGAAGAAGGGTTAGACAAAACAGATACTTGTGATTTTGTTAGTTTTTGCAGATCTAATCATCTGCGATCAAAACCACTGCAAACACAACCATCTTACTCACCCGTCTTCACTGGGATTGACGACAAAAGAAAACACAAATCAGTGTCATGAGATTTGTGGTTTAGCGGTTTCATTTCAAGTGAGTGGCAGCTCTGATTGCAATCAGTGGGGGCGGGTCCTGGCTCTAAAGTAGCCAAAATGATGTGCACTGAGATGCTGCAAAACCACACTGAGCCAGAGGGCTGGACCCGGAAAGGGAATTATTCAATGCAAATGTACGTATCTTCTGACCTCTCAAAAACGTCTTTACAGGATGGTCCAAAAGTTGGCTCTTGGCCCAAAGCTCCGTTCCACATGTGTGTCAATGCTGAGGGAGTGTTCTGGACCAGTCTAGTTTAGTCGCTGTGAATGTTTGAAGTAATTTTGAATCACTCCATGAAAGCCCAATTTTTGGTCCATTAGTTAGAACGGCGGAGATAGGCGTGACTACGTCCGTTAATATTTACAGTCTATGATTTCAAACCAGAAATGGAATAATAAAGGGGATGAAAAAAACATGACATTATTTTAAAAGTGTTTTAAGCAATACAAAAATAATTGTTATTTTTACCTAATCATTAGTGACTCAGTGTGCTGCAAGAGCGGTCAGCATTTTCCCCTTTACTTCCCATTCCAGCGCTTTCTGCAGAGGCTGCGACCAAACCGAGCCAGAAAAAATTCTTGTCCTTCATCGTGCTTCAAAAGTGACCCGTTATGAGACAGCTCCGCTCCAGTTTGGTCACGTGACATTTACCAGATGGTCTACTGACTGTTGCTCAACGTTATGCCAATCAATAATAAATGAGGTAGAAGGACAATAAGGAGAAACTTTGAAATCACTTCTGGGACACAGGGCAAGTTCCGCTTCCCCGTCTCAGTGCAGCAGGTCTCAAAGCCTTCACTTCAGCACCATACGGCTCTATTTTAGAATCACAGGAAGAGAAAGGTCTCAAAGCCTTCACTTCAGCACCATACGGCTCTATTTTAGAATCACAGGAAGAGAAAGGCGTGAGCAGTCCTTACTTCCCCAGTTCCTTCTGGAGTTCTTGCATGTGCAGGTGACACTGCTTATAGTACACGGCCTGCGCCTCCACAAACTCGTTCAGACAGCGCAAGTGATTTACCTGCAACATAAAACATGGACATTGTTACGGGTTCGATCACAACCGGACAGAAATAAGGTTTTGTAAAACGCTGTTATTTAGGGGAGGAAAGGCGTTCATTTAGTTTCTCTGTCAAGACATAACCGGCTTTGCACAAAAACATCTTCAGTATACTAATTTTACATGCGAGCAGTAATATTTTTTATTTCAAACATATAAAAGATACAAATATCCGTTTGAAAACTTGTTAGACGAAGCAAACGGGAATTTGGTCCTGAACATTTGAGCAGTTTTCAGTCCCATTCTCATGAAAACATTAGTATTTTCTCCAGCAATTCCCAGATGGCAGTTTATGTGAACAATGGCTGAAGTTAAAGCGGCTCTCTGCGCGGGTTTCATTCACTGTTGTTTTCAGTTTCGGCCCAATCACTGATGCTAGAGCAGCGTGTAGAGCAGTGTGCGGTATGTTTTTGAAAGTTTCATGGGCAGTCTTGTGTCTGAAGAATGATTGATGAAGTATTAAGCTGAACATTTGGACACATCTAGTTTATTTGCAGTAGTTTCAAAGACCAGGGTCACACTAAGCAACTGTTTGTGTCTTTTTCATTCTCTCCATACACAGCGGGGGCCGACGCCTCTGACCCCAAGCTTCACTCGCATCCTCATAACTATTGTACATTAGTGGTAGGAGATAGAAGCAGCAGCAGGAAAGATACCCAGGCTTAGAGAGAACATGCAAACTCTACAGCAGCTTTAAGGGGCCAGCTCGTGGTGCCTAAGATGAGACTTAAACGTGGGCGGCACGGTGGCTGAGCGGATAGCACTCTCACTTCTCAGCAAGAAGGTCCTGGGTCTGAATCCCGGTCGGAACAGGGCCTTTCTGTGTGGAGTTTGCATGTTCTCCCCGTGTCTGCGTATGTTTCCTCCGGGTGCTCCGGTTTCTCCTACCACTAAAAACATGCACAATAGGTCTGAATGTAAAAGAGAGTGAATGATGGTGTTGGAGCTGATGGTCCAGTGTGTTCTGGACTCGCTTCTGTCATCACCGTGTGTGGAATGACTGGAACAATATCTGACTCTGAACATTGTAAAGTACTTTGGCTGACCTTGGTCTGTAAAATGCGTTATATAAATAAACATTACTTACTTACTACTTAAAACCCGGGGGGACAGGGCCTTCTCTGAGGCTGGACCAAAGCCCCCCCCCCACGTCAAAACTGCTCCCTCGCTGGAATGTTTTAAGTCTCGTCTTAAGACCCACTTTAATTCTCTGGCTTTTAACACCGCGTGAGTCATGTGGTCCTCTGTGTTTTTATTTTATTTTCATTTTCTATATACATACATGTATTTTTTTATTTGTTGCCATGTTTTGCTTGTTGTACAGCACTTCGGAAACTGCTTGTTTATGAAATGTGCTATATACATAAAGTGGATTGGATTGACTCAAGTCGGATCCTGGAGACTTAAAGAATAGACTCAGCAGCTACATTTTTCATATTGTGCACATTTTCTGAATCTAGCACGCGCACAGGCCACTGGGATGTGCGGCCCTATTTGAACGTGCACTGTAGTGTTTGGTGCGTATTACATGTGTGCTGCTGATTCCCTCCAACAGCAGCCGTGTCACTTCAGCCTGACGGTCGAACTCTGTCTGGGCCACTCTCAGCTCCTGCTCAGCCTGAAAAAATAACAAAAACTCATTCAAGAGAAACTTAATTGCAATTCAGAAAAGACTCCACTCAAGCTGTAGCCTGGCCTTAGCCATCCGTACACTCCACTCAATCATCATTTCACTGCATGTAACGTCTGGGTCTGGTCCCTGTGTTAGCGATTACAATCTCTTGAATTTTGACCGACCAATCAGAGAGCGCGGAAGGCGGGTGTTGTAGCTAGTTGTGGGTGACGTTAAGAGTTTGCGTCGAACGGGAAGGTTGTAGTTTGGCAATGGCGAAAAATGTGATAGTAAAGTAATCCAGTCTGTGGTTCTATCGAAAAATTGAAGCCGGAGCAAGAGGAATGTTTAGCAAATGTAATCACTGGAAAAATTGTGGCGCTACTCCCCACGGGCTCTGTTAGCGGCAAAGGAGATGGCTAAAGCTAGGCTAAATGCTAACGACAGACTCCGGCGCACTACATACGTCACGGTAAACTCAGATCCAATCGTTTCAACCTGCAAAAGGAGTTAACCCCTCCCACCTGTAAACTGAGTCAATGGAGCAAATCCAGACCTTAGTACGAAATGTAATGTGTACTATGGTGTGGTACGACCAGGCTACTCAAGCTGTGGCCAGATGCATGATTGGTTGCCGTTTATGGCTATACAAAAAAAGGTTTGACAGGATCAGGTTTCTGCCATTAGTTAAAAGGATTCTTCTTATGTGTAGAATAATGTGATTTGAAAGTTCTGTACCCTTGCTTTAACATCAAGGGCAGTGTTTGTATGACCAGTCCAGTTTATGATTGAGTTCCCTTTTCATTGACTGTAACAAGGAGAATACTCACTTTTGCCACTTCTTCAGTCCATAACTAAAAAAACAAAACAAAAAACAGATGAGTGAGGCAAGATTCATACGTGCGCGATGTTGAAATGAAGTGAGTAGGGTCAGCACAGATTAATCAACACGCTCACTTTTTAAAAGCAGTGAGATTTACTATGAGGAAAAGATGTCAACTCTCCCTTCATTAATTCTCAAAGGCAGCTACACTCCCCGAGGTCAGCGCTCGAACATTTGACTGTGCAACATTGCTAATCCAACACATTTGGGAAAAAGAACAAAGAAGTTCCGTTCTAAAATGTACAGCTGCACAGGACACCGCTCTAAGGGGCAGGAGCAGAACTGAGGACTACAGGAACGAATCACCGCTATGAACAAAAGTCTACGGCCATGTTATACTAGCGCTAATGTGATGTTGAAGAATAATGCCTGGAAAGCACGCTGTAAAAAAGGCAGAATTGCAAAAACACAAAAGCCTGTGTGTGAAGTGCGTCATAGTGAGCGACCACTGTAGTCGTTTAGACCCACCAGCTCAGTGAAGATGGGATTCCTTACACATGACAAAACAAGGTCACAGAGAGGCTTTCCTGTCATTGCAGTCATTTAGATCTGAGTCATCAAACCTCTTCTAAGCCTGTTTAAGTCTATGTGAGATCCAAAAACAACTAATCGATAAATACTTGAGTTGACTATTATTGACAATTTGAATGGCTTTACCACAACTAATTGATTATTGAAATAGTTCTCAACAAATGTAGTAATCGATTCATACGTTTTTTAATCATACCTGGACCAAAACATGCTAAGAATAGATTTTATGACCCCAGCTAGGACTGGGCAATAAATCAAATTTAGGCCATAAATCGATATGAAAATCGTGAAATCGAATGAAGGATATTGAGAGAGTTTCAGCAGCACGTGAATTATACTTACAATATCAGCACAGTCTGTACATTATAATGCGTAATGGGGGAAACAAATAAAAAATTGTTTTGATACTTGAAAGTAAAACATATTTTTAAGGGCAAAGTCTGTCTTCAGTGACTTTAATGAAAACTCCATTTAAAATCAAAATCGTCCAAAGCAGGAAATTAAATGCAGAGTTTACTACAGGTTGTTCAAGCATGGCATGAATGACATATCGTTGGTTGTATCACTCACACTCTCACTCTCACTCGAGTTTATCAGGATCTTTACGATGACACAACACAGCACTAAAAACACATCTACTGTTCATACTTAGTCACTGATCCGTAGGAAATGTTTTGATGTAAGCCGCTCCCGCTTTGTAAGACTACTATTAAGAACATAATAGTATTACATCATTAGTTATAATGTTGTATTTGGATTTCAACTCTCGATGAATGAGTTCCACACATTACACAGTCATTACCTCTGTAGCAGCAAAGTCAGAGCATTTTGACTCATAAATTGAACATACTTAAGCTTTGAAGGCATGTACAATATATTTTTAAAGCCAAAAGAAGAATATTATACATTTTTCCTGAACAGGGCGGCACGGTGGCTGAGTGGATAGCACTCTCGCCTCTCAGCAAGAAGGTCCTGGGTTCGAATCCCGGCCGGACCAGGGCCTTTCTGAGTGGAGTTTGCATGTTCTCCCTGTGTCTGCGTAGGTTTCCTCCGGGTACTTCGGTTTCCCCTACCACTAAAAAAAAATATGTACAATAGGTCTGGCATGCGCCTCCTGTTCGGTGACCCCGCTCCCATCTCTGTGTGGAGTGAGAGGACAAGTGCCCAAAAATAACAATTGTAAACCGCTTTGTGACTCTGGTCTGTGAAAGGCGGTATATAAATAAAACTTACTTACTTACTTAACATAGAACCTATTCTGCTATTGCCACTTTTTATTGTACATAATTATATCCTGCACAGACTACATATTTAACCTCAACATTACTTCTGTCTTTTGCACAATCTGAGTGATTCTATCTATGAGATATCTGTGAGATGAATAAAGTTTATCTTATCTTGAAAAGTGAAAAAATCCCTTATCGGTCTAATTATCCTTTTGTGGTCGTTCTTTGGTCCAGTTTTGGTTCAATACAAACAAAACATGAAATCTCATAAAAATACCTAAATTACTAAAAATAATTATGAGGAAATTGCTGCAAATACAAAAATATATTTAAAAAAAAAGATATGCAGGTATGTAATCTCATCATGGGAGACACATAAGATACATTTAGATATGTATTGGTTATCAATTCTTTACAAACATTGTCTTTCTTTCCCCACAACACGGTGAGTGTGCAGCTGTAACTTGGCCATGTATCCAAGACCATAGACGCGCACAGGACCAGTCCGTGTCTCCTCCCGGATTCCAACTAAACTCTCTAAATCAAAGCTCGGGCACCTACATTTTCCCTTGCATTAACAGTTCATGTTGGTTGTGCCCAAAAGTAAAATGTAGTGAATAAATCAAACAGATTTAATGACATTATGTATTTCAGACTTTTTCTCATCCCTCTAACAATAGTACTAATTGTGGCTCCCTCAGAGACATGTTTATTACTCTCTCGTAATGTAGACTATTGTACTTTGTTTTATTGTTAAAACTGCAGACATCCTGATCCTCTACAATACGTGCTTCTGTATACCGTATAAATAAGTGTAAAAAATAAATAATCGCCCGGGCCGTTTTTTTGGTCCCAGTCCAGCTCTGCCTACGTGCAAGTTGTTGGGTTAAAAGGTCATAGTTTTGCCGCTCTAAGCAGAAAGTAGTGTACGAACGACAAAGTTGGCTCTTACCGCAGAGGCGCTGGCAGAGAGGACGTAGTTGCGTGGTCTCGTCTCCTGGAAATCTGGCGTCTGCACAAAAACAGTGACGTATTTCAGGAGATGCAGGATGGGACACTTCCTTATTTATTTTAATGTGATCAGCAAAAACAAATAAAACCAACTCTGTGTGTACCTTGAAACTGTTTAGTGTCATTAAATGTCTTTTTTATCCGTTTGGTTACTTTGGTTTGGTTACAACTAAAGTCAAATCTAGGATGATGTGGAGTTAAAAAAAAGTCTTGTGATATCTCTCGTCCTATACATACTGAGATGATATGCAAATATACAACAATTATTTGTAATTAATACTAATGTTATTAGTTATATGTCCCACAGTGGGGACATTTCAATGTTGCAGCGCACATACAGGCCAGGAGTAAGAGCACGCGGGGAGCACACAAAATACACTATAAAAGTAGCTATGTTTCTAAGCTAGCTGTTTTTATTGTCCCAGAAGAGAATTTAGGTTTTGGACATTTGCATTTGACCCATCCTTCAGAGCCACTCGGGCCTCTCTCAGGAGCAGTGGTCGCTACAGTGCAGCCCTCGTGGACCCATTTCCTGACATTGATGCTCTTGGTCAGGGCTGGAGCTGGAGGATTTTACCCATACTACATGTTCAGGGTTGTTGGGAAACAGAGCACCTGGAGGAAACCCATCCAGACACAGGGAAAAACATGCAAGCTTAACACAGAACAGTTCCATATCTGTTTTAGATGATCCAACAGCAAAAAGTTAACAATGTATTCTTTGGTAGCAGGTTAATGATCATTTACTATTTAACAAAACCAATCCAAAGTGAAGGAGTCAGATAAACAAACTTGAAAAGTGAGGAGGTGACGCAACCCAGTGTCTGTCTGTGATTGTGTGACTAAGTGAGAGAATTAGAGCAGGACTGATCTCGTCTGTTCAAAGTGCAGGCTCCGTACTTTCTGATAAGGTTCATCTACAGTTTCGCTTGGTAAATTCCACATTTGGCTGTGACTGATATTCATTTCATTCAATTGATTAATACAGTGAATATTCGTTTCCTTCATTGAGTAATTGTAGAACGCAAATTTATTTATTTTATTTTATTAGTTTAGTTGACAGGGACATTGTGCATTAATAAAACATTTCTGTAAATGCACCAGAATTAGCCAAGCAGGCGATTTTTCATCTGCAGTCCCTGGACAGGTGTAAATAGTCTCCCTAAAAATAAAAGTCATACAATAATAAAATACAGAAAACACAGACAGTCGGGGAGAACAAGAACACATATATCATACAATAAAAACACAGTTCAACTTCACACACAAAAGATATTTACAAAGCAATGAGTACATTGAATTTGACTTGCTTACAGACCTTTTTCACTTGTGTTTTGAATGTGAGATTTGAGTCTATTGTGATGCCCAGATATTTGTATTCTGAAACAATTTGCAATTTTTCACCAGCAATAAAAACATCTGACCGTTGATCTGTGGTATTGGACTTGGAAAAAAACATAGAGACTGTTATATTGACGTTGAGTTTTAAGCACGACTGATTTAACCAATCTGTAATATGGACCAAAGACTGAGTTTTTCAGCCACTTGTGACGGGTGTTTGCCATGAGCATAATAACTGTGTCATCAGAATACACTTGAACGCTGACGCAACTAGGACAGACAGAAGGAAGGTCTTTTATATAGAGGGAAAATAACATTGAACCCAAATTAGAACCTTACGGAACACCAGTTTTTAATGGGAGAGTGGGAGAGTTGTAGTCGTTGATTCTGACTGAAAGCGATTTGTCAAATAGGATTCCATCCATTTTATTGCCTCTGAGGAGAAATTGAAATCGCTTAGTTTTGATGGTTTACAGTGTCAAAAGCTTTTTTTAAATCAAGAAAAATGGCCCCAACCATACCACCTTTGTCCAATTGCTGTTTTATGCTTTCAATAAAAAAACAATTAGCTGTCTCTGTGGAATGGCCCGGAAACCAAATTGTATGGGACGGAGTGTAAATGTGGTGTTCAGATGTCCGATTATTTGTCGTGCAACAAGCTTCTCCGTCACCTTAGACGCTGTAGGTATGATGCTGATTGGTCTTCATTTTTAAAGACTGGAATGACAGCAGCTGATTTTCCAGGCCTGAGGATAAATTACTTTTGTGATAGACTGATTCAAGATTTTAGTTATTGGAGTGAAGTTCTTTCAGTGCACATGGGTCTATACCGAATACATCTTTTGTTTTGGATGGTTTTAAAGACCTTATGCCGGGTTTTTAAAAACAAAATAGTGGATATCAAAATTGCATGACAATGTCAATCTGAAAGAGATTCCGGCAAAAAAAATCCTATATTTTATAAAAAGAACGTGTTTTTCATGAATTTAAGTTGTCTATGCTCTAACCTGTGTGTGACGTCACAGCAGGTAACGCCCATGCATTGAAAACCATGGATCTATGCCACAGGACTGCCTTTTCTCTCTCCTCTCCACTGATGCCCAACACAATACTGCCCTCTACAGGTGACAATTGCTCACTACACATAAATTGCCGTTTGAGAGTGAAAAAGTGTCAGAGATGGGATTTGAACCCCAGTATCTGGATTGGTAGTCCATTGACACAACCACTGGACTATCTCAGTGCCAACGAGAAGTTACAATCTTACTTACTTATATCAACTTACAGCGTTGAAAGCGTTTTTTCGTCTCTAAGGGCGTTACTATGGGGTTATTCCGATTTGGGGGGGGGATCAGACAAAAAAAACAACAACTGATTTTGAAACCTTTAGTAGTTCTCTTCTAATATAAAATGGTATTAAAACTGTATTTCTAAATAAATCAAACCAGGCATAAGGTCTTTAAGGATTGAATAGTCTGTGAAACCTGGGCCTCGGATACAGTGCCTATTCTAAAAGCTCCGATGTCGGGAGAGAAATGGTAATGCCACCAGAAGGAAATGACTGGGCAATTGTGGACACTGATTTGATAAATTATTGAAGGCATCTGCGACACTTTTTGGATTATTGGTAATTTCCCCATTTAACTTAATTTCCAAGAGTTTAATGCGTTTTACATCATGACACAAAAGTTTCTTTGAAATGATTCCAGATCATTTTAGAGTTTCCTTTTGCATCATCAATGAGACTCAAGAAAAAAGTGGCTTTGGCTTTTTGAATGCTTTTAACCACCTTGTTCCTGAGAGTTGCAAATAACTTTTTACCACCTGGTGTCTTACTTTTTAAACCATTTTTTAAAGCAAGATCTCTTTCCTTCATTAATTTTACAATATCAGAGTTCATCCATGGCAATACATTTTTATTGTGCCTGATGCTGATTTTTGAGCTATATATTTGAATTGTTTGCTCAAATACTGTTAGAAAGGTTTTATTGTCAGTTTCACAATTTCCCAATAATTTCTGGTCCCAGTCAATATGCTGCACTGCATTCTTAAAGCCTTCTACTTTATTCTTAGGTATTCTGTTGGCTTCACCAACTCTTCCAGAAGAACTGAATAGTTTTTTAGTTAACTTTCTGGCTACCAAAATCAGATTATGGTCGGAAAGAGCAGTTAACATGTTATATGATTGAATTATTCTATTGGGTCGATTTATGAAAATTAAATCAATTTGGCTGCGACTAGAAGCTGTAATTCTTGTGGAATCAAACTTTTCAGAAATTCTTTGAAGATGTTTTCTACGAGATACATCCTCCCAGTTTATGTTAAAGTCCCCTAGAATAATAGTCTCTTTATTTGCTTCTTTAAGTACATTTTCCAATTTGACATAGAAACTACTATCTGATGATGGAGGACGGTATAAAACTATAATGTTAAATGTCATTTGTGAAGATAAAATGACATTTAAACCAAAACATTCCAAATCATGGTTGTTCAGCCAATGCATTTCTTGGCGCTGGATGTCATCTCTAATATAGATCATGACCGCACCACCCTTTGCACCTTCTCTGTCTCTCCTGAGCGTATTATAGCCTGGAATGTCCAGTGCCGCAGAGGGTGCATTTTTATGGTGCCAAGTCTGAGAAAGACAGAGGTAGTCCAAGTTGGAATTGATCAACAGATGATTGATTTGTTCAGATTTAGACAAAAAGCTTCTTACATTTAAATGTCCGCCTAATATGCCCTTGGGCTTAGCTCTAGGATCCCATACTACTTTAGACTGATTAACAGTGGGGAAAAAAGACCACTTCCTGTTTTTGACTATGGCTGGGTTAACATGCTTCCTGTTTACAGTGCACGTTGTCGTGGCAACCAAGAAACGACTTGCGCTAGCGTTGGTTGACAGCATGGTTTGTAGTGTGTTCTGTTCACGATTCCCACAAGACGACAAAGCACCAGCGTACGGCTGACCAGTGGACTCATTCCCGGATTGATCTGCTGCTCCTTCGTGCTCCTTCGTGCGCCCACAGACCCGATTTTCGCCCATGTATTCCATCGTTGGGCCACCGCACAACCACTGCTCCTTCAACCCGGTCATCTCGTAATGGCAACTCCGCAGCAGTTAACGATGGACACAAGGGGAGTATAATATTAGGATGCTGCACCCCGGACGATTGTGTAGTACCCGAAGAGCATACCTGTAAGGTAGGAGTGACGCGTGTACCTTCCATTGCTAGTAGGTTAGCCTCTCCCGGCATCTTGGCGTGGTGCGGGCCCGGACATGGGTGAATGTCTCCAGACAACATCAGACATATGGCAATTAGAAATCCAAGCGTCCGTGTTGAACGCGATGTTGAGTTCATCCTTGTATTTGTCTTGTTGTGTAGTGATAGCGCCATAGCCAGTGTGTCCCATATCCTATGCTTGTCTTTTCCAATTCATGGTCTGTTGAGCTCAAGCTCAAGTCTTTGTGTTGGGGTGGTATAATATTAAAAAAATAAGTCCATCCACCACCGAGGAATCAACATGAAATGGCTTTGCAGAGTATAAAAGCAAACACTAAATTAAGAGCGTAGTAACAGCCCTTCACCTGCAGGGGGGGCAGGTGAAGGAGGATTACGATCCTAAATATGAAGAAATATGATGTTTTTTATCACAATTTGAATTAGATTAATCTAAAGCGAAGCCACCTGAGGATATCTTATAGATCTTCTTTCATCAGTCAAACATATGTAGAAGTAGAACTATAATCAATTAGAATTTTTCATTATCAAAATATTTGTTGATTATTAGACGATGAATTGATTAACATTTTAAGGCTATAAGTGAGTACATTTGTTGACATATAAATTGCTACATGAATGAAAGGGCCAAACAATTCCCAATGGAGTCAGAATAAGGGATGTTACAGACATTTTCTAACAAACAAACAAAGTTATTCAAAAGAAATAATAATTAAATTTTATCTGGGGACATTTTTTTTAAACACATTACTTCAATTGTATGCACGGGTCTCACTGTGAGCGCCTGAAGACAGAGGGTTGAGAAACAAAAATCTAAACATGTGCCAAATGACTCATTTTACATTGAGCCCTCCTCCCATCGGAAGCAGACGACTTCAGATCTTCATGATCTGAAGTCTGTGTCTGCGGAAACTCGGGAATGAGGAAAGGCTACGTCTGTGCGCAACGGTCACTTTCACATTACCACCAGATCGCACATTGTTTGACCAACTCCCAGAGAGGCAGGAAATGTACTGAACCAGACAGAGGACAGGAATGGAGTCAGGGAGAGTGTTACGGGAGACCATTGTACATGTTTTTAGTGTTTAGGGGCAAACCGGAGCACCTGGAGCAACCCAACACAAAAAGAAAGCGGGTACACCTCTCCTCTTATCCACCTCCATCTGAACAGTGCTGCGTCGCTAACACGAGAAATACATCGGTGCGCACTCTGCATAGGTGTGCGCTGAACGTGGGTGGTACTACCTTTAAAGTCTGCTTGAAGAAAAAAGGGATATAGTGTAAAGGACACGTGAAAATATATGTGTCTTGATATTACACACTGTTTGCCTGGTGATTTTTAACATCAGATAATGTTGTGAACGTCGACGTCAGCATGTGCAAAAGAGCCATTAGTTCAATCCCAGTTAATAGTTTTAACTTTACAGAAGTAAATGGATGCTGTATTAATCAGTCTTGAATGTGAAATGTGTTCTTTGGTAAACAGCAGTAAAAGGAAAGAAGAATAACATACTAACAATACAACAATATATCAATGTCAGAAAATGCAATCCAAGAATGAGTTGTGTGAGTGATAGAACTCTCGTATGACTCTTATCAGTCTTATTTTGGCATATTTAGAATGGCCCCTGAAGCTGAAAGTCCATAATTGCCGCAAAGAATGTCTCTGGTCTCCAAGGACTATGTGGATGGACTGATATTGTTTAACTGGGCTTGAATCTATAATAAAAATACACATTCAAATAAGGGAATGGAAAGATATGGACCATGAACTGAACTATTACGTCCAATTATATGGCATCCACAGTTACTCGAAAAAAACATACATGGATGTCTTTTTAAATGCATGAATGAAGTCAAAGCAGGACCTGTTAGGGCTGGGAAACAACATTACTATCACAAAGACAATAACAGTTCCAGTTCCATTGTGAAAAACTTAATGACGCCGGATTCATCTTTAAAATATGCTTGTTGGATTTTAATTTCCCAGCCCTGACAGAATGAAGATGAAGAGCAATCAAAATACTTGTCATACTTACTTCTCCTTCACACTGGAGGTATGAAGGATTAGGATACACAAATAGTCAGCCAGTTAGTCACATTAGCAAGAAACCAATTTATTTGTATACATAACCGCAGACACTAAAAATCACATACCGTAGCTTTGGCTTCTGCAAGTTTGGCTTTTTTCAAACGGGCTTTACAGGAATCCAAGTCTAGACGCAGATTTTCCATGAGTCGTCGTTCTTTCTGTGACAGAGAAGACAAAAACATCAAGATTAATGCCAAACCGTCTGAAGAGCCCGAGGCCACAATCAATACCTTCAAATTACCCACCATAATGAGCAAACACACGCTCACCTGGATGACCTCTAGTGGATCATTGTTCAACTACAGATTCATGTTTTTAAATGATAATTATACGATTGTACGAATGATTATTTTTTTATGGGTGAGGTTATAATAGCTGGATCCGAAGAGAGTAGTGAAGGGCCAGAGAAGGAGGCCATTAGCACTTAAAATGCACTTTTTAAATTGTATGTAAGGCGACCTTGAGTGTCAAGAAAAGCGCCTAAGAAATAAAATGTATTATTATTAAATGTATTATTATTAGGTGCAATTTAAGTCACTTTAAGTCAGTATTGCATTAGGACTGAAAAAACCTGCACTGCTTTTGCCACTCCTTTTATTGTCACGTTTTTATTGTACATAATTACATCCTGCACGGACTATATTTTTAACCTTGAACATGTTCGCACAGTCATTCTATCTATGCCAAATGTGACGTGTACATTTCTCCAGTGTTAGATAAATAAAGACAAGACAAGTTTTTCTGAACAAAATAAGATAGCATAAAAATAATCACTATACATTAAAAAGAAAGATAAAAATATAAAATCCCTCAGTTGTATGCACAGCTAAACAGAACTGTCTTTAACCTGGTTTTAAACATTGTCAGAGAGGAGGCCTGTCTCACATCTTCAGGAAGACTGTTCCAGATTTTAGCAGCATGAATCTGAAAAGCAGCCTCCCCATGTTTAGTTCTGACTCTGGGCACTAACAGGAGTCCAGTCCCTGTGCTCCTCAGAGTCCCAGCAGGAGTCCAGTCCCTGTGCTCCTCAGAGTCCCAGCAGGAGTCCAGTCCCTGTGCTCCTCAGAGTCCGGGCCGGTTCATATGGTACTAACATGTCACTAATATATTTTGGTGTGAAATAAAGTCTAATAAAATCTTATCTTAAACTGCATATTGAGTCCAGTTCCCTCCACTGGGGCATTCCGGGCCGATGCAGGTAGGTCAGAGAACTATGATGATCTGGGACATTTATTATCATTTATGGACAGTGGTCATTCCGCTGCTGATGGACCAATGGCTCCTGTGGTTGTTATTATTGCATTCCCAGTGTTTCGAACTGTTTAATTCTCTGATCTGTTGTCAGTGAATCAACAACTTTGTAGTCCTCCGGGACGACTGCTGTTGAGAAATTAGCGCCGTACAAAAGTAAATTGAGTTGAATCTCATGGTGTTGATGTACTGCAAGCATGGATCTATTATAATAACTAGGGCTGAAACAACTAATCGATTAATCGACGACTAATCGATTATTGAAATAGTCGACAACTATTTTGGTAATCGATTAATCGTTTTCTGGTTCACACGGACTCAAACAGAGCAAAAATGACATGAAAATGTAGTATTTTTGATTAAAACCGACTTTGTTTTTATAATTTCATGAATATCTGTCTGTCTCATCCAATCAGAGCAGAATTAGCACAAAGAGCCTGTTACAAACATTTACTTTAAGTTTACGCCATCAATACGTCCTCGAGTGTTGCCACTTTAGCTTTTTGTGATGAAAAAATACTAATTTTCTACACAATTCACAGCCAAGCGATTACTCGATTAATCGTAAAAATAATCGATAGATTAATCGATTACAAAATAATTGTTAGTTGCAGCTCTAATAATAACTGGATAGGGTATTACGAGCTTGGAGCTGAAGAACCCATGTTCTCTGGGGATTCTCACGGTACTGCAGACTAAACCAGACTAAATTCACGTGGGCTGCCCAGAAATGTTCCCCATAGAACTCAATGTAAACAAAAACAGCTCCACCTCAGCTGACAGAGAACCTGACAAAGAACCTACAGCTTTCATAAAGATCGGATTTTGTGGGGATTTTAGTGTCCCTTGTCATCCTGAACTTTTTTTCTTCTTAAATCCTTTGGTTGTCTTTAAATCCAAACTTTAGTACCAAAAACCTTGCCCGTCTGGCTCCCGCTCTTGGATCGCCGGGGCTTGACTGCAAGCCTGAAAGTTGATTACATTTTACACCTCAGTCCGCGGCCGGTGCTTTATCAACAAGTCCTATCACGAAATGCAATATTTTCTTCCATGGCTCTCGTCAGGCAGACGTGAAATCCCCGGGAATGAACACCCACATATTGTTCCTCTGCAGCAGGTGGTTAGAACAGTTTGCTACATACAGTAAAAGGGAAAATGTAGGAAATGTTTATCATAGTAATGTTATAAAGTCATGACTGCCTTTTTCTCTCAGATAAACAGTATGTCCACTGAGAAATGAAGTGTGTCATGGTGCAATCATGTGATCTAGGAATGTCTGCAGACATTCCCAAAATCAGAGGCTCCACAGCTGGGATGGGACGGCGCATGCATCATCTGAAAACTTTACCGTGAGAAGACATACAGAAGCAATTATACATACAAACTCATTTTCAAACAACCATGTCCTGTATTTTATTCTAATCAATAAACTCAAAACACAATTAAATTAAAAAATAAATAATTGTAACATCGGTCTAACAATCATTATTTAACTTGGGTCCAGTTTTGGCACAATCCCAAAAGAATTCCTTCATTCCGATGAAAATAGCTTGAGCTCCACCTTTTTTCTGTTTCTATCTTCTCCGGATGCATCATAAAAATCACATGCCATTTTTACGCAACACCTGACTCACCGAGATGGTTCTCCAGTCGCCCTCCAGGAAGTTTCGGAGTGGATTCAAAAAACTAATGGCTGCTGTTTGGAGAAAGTCTCGCTCCGCAGCTCCCAGACGCCTTTCGCAGTCTCCAACCATGATCAGCGTGCTGCCTGAACACACAAAAGAGGAAAATATTTACAATACTGTACATAGAAGCATCAAAAATAGAACTATCTTTTTCTTCTACTCGGAAATGAGTCCCATTGTTATCACTCAGGATAAAAATCATCAACTAGTCTAGTCGCCATCACTAAAAGACAAAATCCATAAAATGTACTATTCATTCATTCATTTTCATCCCCTTTATTAATCCATGTCTGAACTGGGGGGTGGCAATCAGAGCTGCCCAAGGACACAACGACAGCAGACTTCAGTGGGAGCAGAACAGAAGGGATGGAACCCCCAACCATTAGGCCCAAAGGTCAACGCGCTCCCGACTGAGCCACTGTCGCCCCGAATGTACAGATTGCAAAATAAACAAAAACAAATGTACAGGAATGTTTCTTACTCAATGATTTCTTAAAAACGTCTAATATCATTTTACGCTCACACAAACATACACACGCAGAGTTATATTGTCTTTCACAGAACAAGTGATAGACTACAAAAATATAACGGTCTTGCAATAATGACAATTCAAAACAAAAAAGAAGCCCCAATTACAACCAAAAAAATGTCCTCTGCAACCAACAAAAATAATACAGGTATCAATCAAAAGATAAAACAGAAGAGGATGGACAAAAAAGGATATATCCGACAGACCAGACACAGACAGAAACAGACAACACACAGATAGAAACAGACCAGACACAGACAGAAACAGACAACACACAGATAGAAACAGACCAGACACAGACAGAAACAGACAACACACAGATAGAAACAGACCAGACACAGACAGAGACAAACACACAGACAGAAACAGACCGGACACAGACAGAGACAGACAACACACAGATAGAAACAGACCAGACACAGACAGAGACAGACAACACACAGATAGAAACAGACCAGACACAGACAGAGACAGACAACACACAGATAGAAACAGACCAGACACAGACAGAGACAGACAACACACAGACAGAAACAGACCAGACACAGACAGAGACAGACAACACACAGACAGAAACAGACCAGACAACACACAGACAGAAACAGACCAGACAGAGACAGAGACAGACAACACACAGACAGAAACAGACCAGACACAGACAGAGACAGACAACACACAGACAGAAACAGACCAGACAGAGACAGAGACAGACAACACACAGACAGAAACAGACCAGACACAGACAGAGACAGACAACACACAGACAGAAACAGACCAGACAGAGACAGAGACAGACAACACACAGACAGAAACAGACCAGACAGAGACAGACAACACACAGACAGAAACAGACCAGACACAGACAGAGACAGACAACACACAGACAGAAACAGACCAGACACAGACAGAGACAGACAACACACAGACAGAAACAGACCAGACAACACACAGACAGAAACAGACCAGACAGAGACAGAGACAGACAACACACAGACAGAAACAGACCAGACACAGACAGAGACAGACAACACACAGACAGAAACAGACCAGACAGAGACAGAGACAGACAACACACAGACAGAAACAGACCAGACACAGACAGAGACAGACAACACACAGACAGAAACAGACCAGACACAGACAGAGACAGACAACACACAGACAGAAACAGACCAGACAACACACAGACAGAAACAGACCAGACAGAGACAGAGACAGACAACACACAGACAGAAACAGACCAGACACAGACAGAGACAGACAACACACAGACAGAAACAGACCAGACAGAGACAGAGACAGACAACACACAGACAGAAACAGACCAGACACAGACAGAGACAGACAACACACAGACAGAAACAGACCAGACACAGACAGAGACAGACAAAACACAGACAGAAACAGACCAGACAGAGACAGAGACAGACAACACACAGACAGAAACAGACCAGACAGAGACAGACAACACACAGACAGAAACAGACCAGACACAGACAGAGACAGACAACACACAGACAGAAACAGACCAGACACAGACAGAGACAGACAACACACAGACAGAAACAGACCAGACAACACACAGACAGAAACAGACCAGACAGAGACAGAGACAGACAACACACAGACAGAAACAGACCAGACACAGACAGAGACAGACAACACACAGACAGAAACAGACCAGACAGAGACAGAGACAGACAACACACAGACAGAAACAGACCAGACAGAGACAGAGACAGACTAGACCAGGGGTGTCATTCATGCGGCCCATTTGAAACGGCCCATGGCTGATTTATGTAAAATGATAACAATAATAATAATTAAAAATTTTAAGCGAAAAGTGGACATCGAGTGTGGAGTAATTCTCATTTGTTCGCGGAGGTGAACATTCTACGGCAATGCCAAACTACAATATGACCGTTCGGCGCAAACTCTTGACGTCACCCACAACTAACTACAACACCCGGCTCCCTCGCTCGCTGATTGGTTGGATGGAATTCAAAGGATTGTAATGTAACGACCCAGACGTTACATGCAGGGAAATGATGATTGAGCGGAGTGTACAGACGGCTAAAGCCAGGCTAATTGTGACCTTCTCCCAAATGTAATGTAAATTTCACAATGGTGATTTATGCTTCAATGCTTGACTTGATATCTTTATTACTATTGGGATGCATCATCTCATTTTCGAGATGAACTTCTTGAAAACTGCAGTCATTATAGAATTATGTCATGAAAAATCTTCTCAGAATGTTTAAGTCTATGTGAGGTTCCAAAAAGATTAATCAAACTTTTTCAATTGATTCATTGCATCAAGTTCTCAACAAATGTAGTCATTAATTAATCTTTTTTGGTATGTCCTGGTATGGTTCTATAACAGAGGTTTTACAACTCCAACAGCGTTTTAAAAATATCTTTCTAATCAAACCATCAATTATGTTACATCTGGTATCTATGACAATGTTCTTGAATTACTTTAGCTTTATTCTGTTCAGATTTATTCAAAACAAATAAAATCTATGGATTTGGCAGACTGAACCAATCACAGTGCAGCATTGTGTTAAACGACTCTAGCAGAAGCATGGAGGATAAGAATATTCTCCAGAATTTTCCACCTCCATCCTGTCTGGAGGAACCGGACAGGATGGACCCAAGATTTTAGTGTGAGCTTTTAATTTTGAGCTCAAAATAAAACTACGGATGTATTTTTGGATGTGGTCACAAGCAGAGAAACGAGATGAAAATTGAAACATCCTGTTGAAAAAGCCCTGACCTTCTCCCAAATGTAATGTAAATTTCACAATGGTGATTTATGCTTCAAAACATCACCCTCAAAGAATTAAGATTCAGTTCATTTGCCATTTGCAGTAAAGCCACATTGGAATACATGTCCCCCACAAGTGTGTGCATCAGACACAAAGCTGGACAAATGATCCACATCTCGTCTGAACATGTGGAGCCTCTGGTGTAACTCCTTCTGTTGCGTCGAAGACTGAATCAAAACCACATGATTGTGGTTAGTAATGAAGGACTTTCTCTGCTCTGATTCATACATTTCCAGAGCGGTTGTGAAATGCATCTGCAACAGCCACATTTGACTTGTCTTGTAACCAGCAGGGATTTGATTGATAGGCATTGATTTTCAAAATGTCACTTGAACGCTCCTGGTTATAAATAAAGACTACTTAAACACAGCAGCGTGCTAAAAAAAAACCTAATCAAATTCGCTATTGATCGTTTGTTCTTCTACATTTGGGGGGGGAGGGTGCAGAGGACAGCCTGACAGAGGTAATGTAATAAAACACAACAGGACACAATAATGCCCTCAGGAAAAAACACGTTTATAACATTGGTGAATATTTAAGAGATCCTGTATTTGTCCCACAGTGAGGAGATTTCAGTGTTGCATCACAAGTTACAGACAGTAGGAATGAAGAGCACAAAGCACAAGATAAGTAAACAATAACTCTATACTAGATCAAATAAAACCTTTAACTTTAGCATGAAAAATAAGCAGTATAAAACTTAAGCATAGTGAAGAAGCAAGAATTAAGAACAAATCTCTGACTTCTCTCAAAGTGAATGCACCAGCAGCTGGACATGGACTCACCATAATAAGCTGAAGTTTGCTTTACGACAATTTACAGCTAGTTTATTTCTCCAAACAAACTGTCTGTGTGAAATGTAAGTGTTTGCTCTCTGCTTTTCATAATAACTTTCACAAAAGGAGCGCGATAGTAATAGTAAGCTGCATATCTTGATGATGTTCATTCAAAAAACTGAATTTCTCCATGGTGAGATCAATAAAGTATATCTTATGTTATCTGATTTCACAGCTTCTTATCTCTGTATATGATGTGTGCTCAGTGTGTGCTCTCACTACTGTCGTAATTGTATCCAAACTTCCCCATCGTGCAACAAATACTATAAAAGTTCTGTTATCTTGTCTTACCATAAGGACTACCAGCTCCAAACTCTCGGGCCGCGTCCTCCATGTACTGACCCAGCAGCTCCGAGTTGGTGACTCTGCACGGAACCTTTCTGTCCAACTTCTCATACAGAAACTCCTCAATCCTGGCACCTGCGCAGACACAGAATTTCATTTTCAAATACACGTTGAAAATTACACCGCAACACACTGCAAAACGTGTATGAGTTTTATGACAGTTGTTTTTGTGAATGAGTAGAAAACTGGTCTCAGAATCTCAATATGTTGCACACAGACCATGGAGCGCAACAGCTGCATCTGTAAATAATAGTGGCGCAAGTGGAGCAGATGAGTGACGCTAAAAATAGCTTACAGTGCAAATGGAGTAAGGTAGAGGTCTAATGGTTTTCCAAAGCAGACAAAGACACAATGCTGGGTTCTGTTTCCAAACCGCGAGAATGATTTCAGAAAGAAGTGAGCAGCGATCAAAATGTCATACAGGCTCCAAATGTCCACTTTAGTACTGAACAGAGGTTTTGATCTCACAAGAATACACTTTCGACTAGGGCTGTGTCCATGATGTTCGATCAGATGACTGATTTTTTTCTTCAGATTATTCCAAAAAATTGTTTTGATCCAAAAAGTTCAGTTTTTTTAAAAATACATTTATCCAAAACAAAGCTCAAGTGATGCCCCTGCAGAACATCTTCATAAAGAGGATTTGTTACACATTGGGTTGTTGGATTGAAAATATTTTTCTTTTCTCATTCTGCAGTTGACTTGATATCTTTATTACTATTGGGATGCATCATCTCATTTTTGAGATTAACTTCTTGAAAACTGCAGTCATTATAGAATTATGTCATGAAAAATCTTCTCAGAATGTTTAAGTCTATGTGAGGTTCCAAAAAGATTAATCAAACTTTTTCAATTGATTCATTGCATCAAGTTCTCAACAAATGTTGTCATTAATTAATCTTTTTTGGCATGTCCTGGTATGGTTCTATAACAGAGGTTTTACAACTCCAACAGCATTTTAAAAATAACTTTCTAATCAAACCATCAATTATGTTACATCTGGTCTCTATGACAATGTTCTTGAATTACTTTAGCTTTATTCTGTTCAGATTTATTTAAAACAAAATCTATGGATTTGGCAGACTGAACCAATCACAGTGCAGCATTGTGTTAAACGACTCTAGCAGAAGCATGGAGGCTAAGAATATTCTCCAGAGTTTTCCACCTCCATCCTGTCTGGAGGAACCGGACAGGATGGACCCAAGATTTTAATGTGAGCTCAAAATAAAACTACGGATGTATTTTAAGCAATAGCACTGGTCACAGGCAGAGAAAGGAGATGAAAATTGAATGAAAATTGAAACATCCTGTTGAAAAAGCCCGTGACGCTGAGTCATTGCCTGCTCCATCCAAAGTTCACGCTTTTTTATCAATGGGAACATTGTTGCTCTCCTAAATTTGTCAATGCATTCTTTTGCAGCAGTCCAGGCTTATTCTTCACATTCAAACATCTACCAGATGAACGTTTAAATAAAATGTGCCTTTTATATCTTTCAGTCGGACAGTGACAGTAAGTTCTCAAATGCAATATTTGGAATACACAGTCTTTTTAAATATTTTGATGTAAAAACGCTATCAACAATTTCTTTACCAGCTGTAAAACACACACACTAGGACCGGGTATCTTTCAGAACAGGCCGATACAAATCTAAATACAGTGCCTTGCGAAAGTATTCGGCCCCCTTGAACCTTTCAACATTTCGCCACATTTCAGGCTTCAAACATAAAGATATAAAAAATATTTTTTTTGTCAAGAATCAACAACAAGTGGGACACAATCGTGAAGTGGAACGACATTTATTGGATAATTGAAACTTTTTTAACAAATAAAAAACTGAAAAGTGGAGCGTGCAATATTATTCGGCCCCCTTGCGCTAATACTTTGTAGCGCCACCTTTTGCTGCAATTACAGCGGCAAGTCGCTTGGGGTATGTCTATCAGTTTTGCACATCGAGAGACTGGAATTCTTGCCCATTCTTCCTTGCAAAACAGCTCGAGCTCAGTGAGGTTGGATGGAGAGCGTTTGTGAACAGCAGTCTTCAGCTCTTTCCACAGATTCTCGATTGGATTCAGGTCTGGACTTTGACTTGGCCATTCTAACACCTGGATACGTCTATTTGTGAACCATTCCATTGTAGATTTGGCTTTATGTTTTGGATCATTGTCCTGTTGGAAGATAAATCTCCGTCCCAGTCTCAGGTCTTTTGCAGACTCCAATAAGTTTTCTTCCAGAATGGTCCTGTATTTGGCTCCATCCATCTTCCCATCAATTTTAGCCATCTTCCCTTTCCCTGCTGAAGAAAAGCAGGCCCAAAGCATGATGCTGCCACCACCATGTTTGACAGTGGGGATGGTGTGTTCAGGGTGATGAGCTGTGTTGCTTTTACGCCAAACATATCGTTTTGCATTGTGGCCAAAAAGTTCGATTTTGGTTTCATCTGACCAGAGCACCTTCTTCCACATGTTTGGTGTGTCTCCCAGGTGGCTTGTGGCAAACTTTAAACAAGACTTTTTATGGATATCTTTGAGAAATGGCTTTCTTCTTGCCACTCTTCCATAAAGGCCAGATTTGTGCAGTGCACGACTGATTGTTGTCCTATGGACAGACTCTCCCACCTCAGCTGTAGTTATCTGCAGTTCATCCAGAGTGATCATGGGCCTCTTGGCTGCATCTCTGATCAGTCTTCTCCTTGTTTGAGATGAAAGTTTGGAGGGACGGCCGGGTCTTGGTAGATTTGCAGTGGTCTGATACTCCTTCCATTTCAATATAATTGCTTGCACAGTGCTCCTTGAGATGTTTAAAGCTTGGGAAATCTTTTTGTATCCAAATCCGGCTTTAAAACTTCTCCACAACAGTATCTCGGACCGGCCTGGTGTGTTCCTTTGTCTTCATGGTTCTCTCTGCGCTTTAAACAGAACCCTGAGACTATCAAAGAGCAGGTGCATTTATACGGAGACTTGATTACACACATGCGTGCATTCTATTTATCATCATCAGTCATTTAGGACAACGTTGGATCATTCAAAGATCCTCACTGAACTTCTGGAGTGAGTTTGCTGCACTGAAAGTAAAGGGGCCGAATAAAATCCTAGGGTTTCCAATTCACCTACAAAAACCACCTCAGCCAGTCCCTCCCCTAACCTCATGACCATTCCACCCCCACTTCCCCCTCGTTCAGCACCCAAAACCTCTGCCTCAGCCCACCCCGGCCCTAACCCATCACCAAAAACCCCTCCACCTCCCTGCCCCCCTCGTTCAACACCCAAAAGCCACCCACCTCTCCATCCTCCTCCCCCGCCTTCCCCTTCCCCTCTTTTCTCTAAACACTAGGATGCACAGGGTCTCTGCTTCGCAGCCACTGGCAGTCTAGTTAGAGGAGAGACCCGGCTGGGGCCCTGTCATGAAGCCACCTGTGCCATTCCCGTAGTGATAACACAAAGAATACATTACAGAAAGACATCTGGAGTTAATAAGTCTAATCTGGAAAATCTAATTCTTGTTCCGTGTAAGAATCAGCCGACCACAACCGCTGATACTGAAACTTTGAAACTTGCTACGCTTAATGTCAGATCTCTTTGTAACAAGTCTTTTTTAATCAATAATTTTATTTGTTCTCATAATCTTGATCTTATGTTCATGGCTGAAACTTGGCTTGACCAAAATTCAGGAAATGCAGTTTTAATAGAAGCATCACCACCAAATTTCAAGTTTGAATCTGAAATACGGGAAAACAAAAAAGGAGGAGGCTTAGCTGCCATTTTCAGAGACCACTTTGTCTCCCATAGAATGTCTCTTGGGAAGTTTTCGTCTTTTGAATATGTGTCTTTTAAAATACAACAAAAACAATCTCCTCCAATACTCTTCATTGTCCTATACAAGCCACCGCAGTCATGTCACAGTTTTATTGATAATTTTACCGAGTTGCTTTCAGTTGTATGCACAGATTTTGATAGTTTGGTTATTACAGGTGATTTTAATATTCATGTGGATAATGTTGATGACAGAAATGCAAATGAGCTGAGTTCTGTACTTGAATCCTTTGATCTCACTCAGCACGTAAGTGGCCCCACCCACAGCAGAGGGCACACTCTAGATCTGTTAGTTACTAAGGGGGTGAATATTTCAAATGTAAACGTGGTCGATGTTGCTCTTTCGGATCATTTCTGTGTTTTTTTTGACATGTGTTTCACTAACAAACCACCAGTGGACTCTGCAACTGTACGAAGAAGACACATAAATGAAAATACGAGTGAAACTATTTATGGGAATGATAAACTTTGAGAATGCATCGTATTCTACTGTAGATGAACTGTTTAACTCTGTCACCTCTAGTGTTTTGAATGTTCGTGGATACCGTTGCCCCTGTGAAGGTTAAAATAGTGAAAAATAAGCAGAAGGCGCCGTGGGCTAAAGCAGACTCGGTCAGGGCACAAAAGAGAAAGTGCCGGAGGGCCGAGCGGAAGTGGCGCAAGTCCAACCTCCAGGTTGATTACGAGATCTTCAAAGATAAGTTGTGCGAGTTTAACCGGGTGCTACGTAGTACGAGAGAAAGGTATTTTTCTGAAATGATTGAAGGCTGCAGCAACAATCTGCGTGTTCTGTTTTCAACAGTTAATAGATTAACAAACCCCCCTGTTCAAATGCCATTAGAGCTTACTTCCAAACGTAAATGCAATGAGTTTGCAAATTTTTTCAATGACAAGGTTCAAGGCATCAAAAACGCCATTGTCTCCAATCCACAGATAACCATCCAACAGCCAGAAAGGCTCTCTGAGCTAACTCACTTTGCACCTGTAAATGATAAAACTGTCCAAGAGATAATCTCCAGTTTGAGCTCCTCCACATGCAGCTTGGATGTACTACCCACTAGATTTCTGAAGTCTGTTCTGAGCAGTCTGTTACCTTCACTCACACAGATAGTAAACATGTCCCTTCATTCTGGAATATTCCCAAAGGCCCTGAAAACTGCAGTCATCAGGCCCCTGCTAAAAAAGAGCAGTCTCGATGCTACGGTACTTAACAACTATCGTCCCATCTCAAATCTGCCATTTATGGGGAAAGTCCTTGAAAAAGT